CTATCTATCTATCTATCTATCTATCTATCTATCTATCTATCTATCTAGTCTACGTATGTCTCTCTCTCTCTCTCTCTTCATCTATCTAACCACCATTATTGCAAACAAGCAAACCTACCTACTGGACTTGTTTATACCCAGGTGGTTCCATAGTGTAGAGAGACCCCTGGGCCTGGAGTCAGGAAAGTCTGGGTTCATATTTGGCTTCAGACCCTTATTAGTTATATAACCCTGGGCAAGTCACTTACTTAACTTCCGTTTGCTCAGTTCCCTCATCTGTAAAATGGGGATAATAATAGCACCAATTCCCAAGATTGTTGCAAAGATCAGATTAGAAAATAATTGTGTAGTGCTTGGCACATGGTAAATACTATATACATGTAAGCTAATGCTGTACTATTGATATCTCATTTGATATATATATATATGTATACATATACATAGAGATAGATAAGATGATGAGGTTCAATTGTTTTAGTTGTAATTCTTTGCAACCCCATTTTTGAGGTTTTCTTGGCAAAGAAACTGGAGTGATTTGCTATTCCTTCTTCAGCTTGTTTTATGGATGAGGAAACTGAGGCAAACAGAGGTAAGTGACTTGCTGAGGGTCAGCAGCTATTATATGTCTGAGTCTGGATTTGAACTCAGGAAGATGAATCCTCATTATTCCAAGCCCAGTAATTTATCCACTGTTCTTACTAACTGCCCTGTATGTGTGTACACATATATACAGATGTATATATGTATATGTGTGTCTATATATAGACACACATATGTATGTGACTGTATGGTGTAATGAATAAAGAATAAAGAACTGGCTCGAGAGTGAGGAAGACCTGAGTTCAGCTCCTGTCTCAGAAATATACTGGCTGTTTGACCCTATGCAAGTTCCTTAGTAAACCCTCATTAATTGCTCTGTTGACTTTCAGGGCTTTAGCAAGTGTCTAACACTAGAAATTGTGGAACAAGTGCTGATAGAGACAGTTTTCCTACACCCAGGATTCATAATCTGGTGTCTGTGAACTTGTTATTTTTAAGGTTTTTATTTTGTTAATTAAATTCAATATTTTTTCTTCTATAATCATATGTATATTATTTTATCATTTAAAATATTATTCTAGGGGAAGGGAGGTGGTCCATAGACTTCACCAATGAAGCATTAAAAACAATGTGAGAATCTGCCCCAAAGCAATAAAATTCTTGATTCTGTTAAATCACCACCACCACCAACATCACCACCACCACTACCAACCGCCCAAACCAAAATTGACTCTGTGTGTGTACATAAGTTATGTGATGATAAAATGCATGAATAAATAAATAAATGAATGGATAAATAAATGTTAGTCCTTTCCTCCTTGGTACAACAGTAGAAAAAAATGAGGATAAGGGCAACATTTTGGAAACAGCTGTAGTTCTTCCAAAGTGACGCTCCTGGTGGGGCATTCAGCAGGAGGGAGGTACAAACCAGGCCACAATTGTGTCTTTTGAACATTGTTTGGCATGGTTCTGGCTATAAAAGAAGTTTCT